CCTGTCAGGAGACGGCCTCCCCCAACAATGCCAAACCAACAACAACTCAGTGAAGGCCTCCACCCTAGTAGCGATGGCCTCCAACCTATAAGAGTGATGCAACTTGATTCCAAGATTCGCCGGCAGAGACCCCTGCTGGCCCAGCTCTTCAGGGTCGGAACGGATGCGACGCTCACCGCTCGACGAATGGTGGGGGAGGACCCAATCGGTGTTCATGGGGTGTTCCTTCGTGTTTGGTTGAGAGTGGTGCCGAGCTCAAGAAGTCCGATTTATGTCCAATTGGTTCGTCTAGTTGTGCGAAGCAGGCGATAAGCTTGTCAAGCAGCCCCGTGGCCCTGTGTTTGTCAGCATGGCTTCTGCAAAAACTACATCAAGCATTCGAGTTTACATCAGGCCTACACCACCCTACACCTGCATCCAGTGTAAAAATCATAGGTCCGAAAGTATCCAAAAGCCACACGTGGCAGATTCTGCCAACATTTTGTGGCTTTGGAACTCAAGTTGCAGGGCAACGTAAGGTTTGATCACTTCAGCATCAAAAATGGGGAGAAGGCCACTTGGTGATATGAGTCAAAACCCGGAGCCTGGCTAACCCCGTCATACCCTTAGCCTGTCTATTCCATATTCGGTCAACCGGTCGGTCCCCCACTGTTCGCCATCTCGAGCTGCCGACCAGGTGAGCTCGCAAGCCCGCGCGGTGCGCTTTGGCGACGTCGTGCAATTGTCCCTGCGGCTGCAGACTGACGGTACACCCGGGTGCAGACTCTGGTGGTGACCTTGTTACTCTTGAACTCGGAAGCCCGGATGTATTTGCTTTGGTTTGATGGAAGCCGCAAGCATTTCCCCTGCAACATAATGATCAGAAGGATAATGATAATGATCAGAAGGGGCAAGTTCTATGATCGTTAGTTTTTGGACCGCTGTTTTAGAGCACCAGGGGGGCTCCTGCAGCATTGCAAAAGACTAAGCATTGAACCCATCACTTTGAAAGATGACTTCCGATTTTTGGTAGTTTGGTACCTTCGAAGCTCCCAGGTAGCCACTTGGAGTCTTCCAATCCTACCTCCCAACCAAGCTAAGCTGAGAGTGGACCAACGTACCCAGGTGCTCCGTAGGAAGGGCACCAAGGGACAACCAAGGGACAACCGACCTGATGGAACACGTCAGCTCCTTGGCAGTCTATTGATGTATATTGATGTCATTTTTTTGGAATGTTTATTGCATTTTGAGTTGCTAAGAGGTGGCTTAAGACTTGCGGATTCTTGGCAGCCGAGAAACCCTGACAACTTCTGGGGTCCGATGCCAGGTGCTGGCTCTGCATGTGTCACTGATGGTGCGATCTACCTTTGAAGTTTTTTTGGGCAAACATTTGAAGCTAAGTCTTGAACTCCTAGGAAAGCCATGCGCCATGCCTGACAAGCAAAGGAAAACAGCACAATTCACGGGATTCCTTAACTAGAATCTGTTTTGGTGAGGCGTGGAGCCTCACCTCCAGTAACATCCGGTGGCGAACCCGGCCCAGGCAACACCTTCGCACCGGTCTCTATATTGGTGTGGGGGAGCCATTCTCTTTTGGTTGGCGAGTTCAGCAGCAGGGCGTGATGAATTCTGATGCAGAAAGATGCACGGTCCAGACCTTGCGTGTCCAACGGCACTAGACTTTGGGTGTCCAACGGCACTAGCTGCGTCACACGGAAGGTCAAAGCCAAGTTCTCCGCCGACCACCAAGCGACCTCAAGACGTGTGGAACTACAGGAGCCAACCGGCGACGACGGGTCGTGGCTTTTGAAGATCTTTGGATGGGGGAGGTTTTGCATGGTTTTGCCACATTGATATCGAAGGAACCGTGGGCAGAGATCAGCCAGTTATAGCTGGGGGGAGGGTTGTTTCCTTTGTGAGGATTTAGGTAGTCTCGAGGTCACCTTGCTGCTTTATGTCCAAGAATCGCTTGATCGGGCTGAACGCAATTGTTTCCAGTGCACTGCAGCAAAGGGGTGGGTGAAGCCACACCAGCTATAAACAAGCATGTTGAAGCATTTACACGGTCAGTCCAGTCTCCAAACTTCTGTCCCGACAAAGCTGTAGAGGCTCAAGGGCGACCATGAATGACAGCTCTAGAACCGGATCCAAAAACCCTTACAAAGCAAAGCTGTTTACTGAGCAACAGCGGAATCGCGGCTGTCCGCGTCCTTTACGCCCATCCGAAAACCGGAGGAAGACCCATCCACCATATCAAGGGGCCTCCGCTTTTTTCTAACGGCTCGGGTTGCAGGATGGAACCATGGCCTCATGGCTGACGGTCGTGGGCCGAGACCGCTTCCGGCGAAAATGCACAGAATAGACCTGAATAGATTGGGTGTGCCCTAGTACCTGTAACAGTCAGTAAAATCTATCACTGTTAATAGACCCAAAGAATAGACATTAATAGACTAATTACTGAGGAGGTCAGCCTGACATACCGAGCTTGGATTCACAGCCACATTAACACACATGGTTCAATGCAGGGGTGGATATGATTTTGCATGGCTCGCGTTACTATTCAGCTCGCATTTTGGCTAGCAGTCGCGTCCTACTGTCTGTACTGTTTGGGAAGAAGCTGTATGATAACAACCGTGTTGTCACGGGCTTCCCAGATACTGGACACTCCAGCACCATTTCCATCCATTTCCACTTGTTGCGGTGGGGTTCGGCATGGTCTGTTCCAATTTTTGACTCTGAAATTATGACACGTGTTGATATGTCGTCAAGGTTTGTGTATGTTTGTGTTGCTGCTTCATTGTCAGGGCACGGCCATCGTTGTATATTGTCATTGGCCCCAAAAACGATAAACACGTTTGACATTCAGCTGGCTTAGTTTAGCTGGTTCCGCCGGGCTTACACGTCTTGGGGCTGGCTTTGGGATCCACAAATTCCAAGTGGACCTATATACAGTCAACAATCAGGTTGAACAAGATGTTTCACAGGAACTCACTGTTTTCCCCACCAAAGAAGCAGCCAAAGAATGAATTGGCAATAGAGACAGGTTTTACACCAGAGCCCCCTAAGGAGTGGTTAATGGACGCCCCTTGACCTCCAATTCAACCTCTAAGGGGCTAACAATCAGCACCCCTTGGCGTTGTGTTGTTTCAGTTTTGTGTTTTGGTATGCTCAAACCATCAGGTCACTCCGTTCTTTTCGCACCGGAAGCAGGGAGAGCCTTGGCAAGTGGAGAGGCTGCCTTCATGGATTTGGTGCAAGTGTGGCAAGTTGCGGCGCCTCCTTTGAGGGCTTTTGTAAAGCAGCTGCTGACGGTCTTCGGTTTTACCATGGTTTTACCATGGGTGCCATACACCATTTGTCGTGGGTTCTGGTGCACATCCACACGGTTTGCAACCTGGGATGGCTTAATTTGTTTGGTAATTGGCTGTGGTCGTTTTTTTTGTCTGTTGGATTTTGCGATCGCCGCACCGAAGAATACGGCCAATCTGGTTCTTGACATGTACCTCTCCTTCACCCGAAAAGGTCACATCAACCTGGTTCGTTGTCCGGTGAATTCCATGAGAACACCCCTTCTCCGATGTCCGTGTGTTTTCGGTGTCCTGATCCAACCAGGCTTTGCACTTTCAGCGTGTTTTTACAAGGGCTTGCTTCAGCTGAGGAATTGCTCACCTTCAATGAGATGGTTGGGGCCTTTTTGGAGCCTTTGGGTGGGGCAGGGCAGGGCGCGGGTCCTACCGTCTCCTACGAGTCCTGGGGTGATTCCGATCTAAGCCGGGCCCACTGCCGCACTCCCCACAGGAGACCTTTTCAACTCGAAACATGGCAGTGCACCGCTTTCTGAAGTCCGTTTTTGAGAGACGTCGAAGGTTCTGAGACAAAAGGCGAAGGACCCAGATTTTGCAGGACGCCCGCAACTCAACTCTTCTTAGCTTATACAAAAATTATATATAGGTAGGCCCAGCCTGCCACGTGGTCCTGGAAACACGCCGTTGCTTTTCATCAATTTTGGTGGGGCTTGGAATTGTTGGGTGAGTCAAAGGGGCACAGGATCATCTACTGATGTATTACTGTAGGTTATTAGGGCTACCCTGCAGCATCGGCAACAGATTCTGATTCTCCTTCCTGCCTGCCTTCCTGCCTTCCTGCCGTCCTGCCTTCCTGCCTTCCTTCCTGCCTGCCCGCCTCCTTCTTTCCTTCCTTCCTCCCTCCCTCCCTCCCTCCCTCACAGTATCATTTAGATTTACCTCTAGTTGGTGGATGTTGGTGGCGAAGAAGTGCACCAACTCTTGCAGCTCCGTGTTGCAGTACCAAGGCTCAGGGGGGGCCAACCGACACCCCTCATCCAGAAGAGAATGAACATGCTACGTCGATAGATGTTGATTGATTGTGCACTTAGTGCACTCCCAAAGAACCGACTCAGTCGAAAAGCACTGGGCCATGGATGGCTCAGTCTCCAAGGTGTCACTGGAGAGCGTCCGGCACCCGAACGCCTCGGTCGCCGGGACGTTGGCGCCGGTGTGGGCGGTCCAAAAATGCCACATCTCAGGGACGAGGTTTACTTGATCCACCTGCCCGAGCAATCACATGCACTAAAAGTATCTAAAAGTTGCTGAGTGTGACCAGTTCTTCGGCAGTCTTTGAGGGGTCAGTTCCTCCGAACCAGTATGATGTGTATGCATTTGGGGTTGAGGGGAGCACTCATAGCGTAGATGCAGGAGCGGTTTGGTTCATGACTTGGTTTGTTGATCTGACCAGGTGACTAAATGTGAGCAGCAAATCCCAGGTGATGGGCTAGCCAGTGATCAGTCCCAAATTTCTCTGCTGGCTTTCTTATGCTTTCTTCGCGCGGATTTGTAATGAGCACCTTCGCAATGCAGCCCATCAGGCTCAAGACCACTTTGATCCATTTTGCCTTCTGTTTTCAGTTCTCAGATGTTCTCAGTATACAGATGCTCGATGTTGAGCAATCTGACTTTCACCAATCGACCTCCTGGAGTCAGATCACGACATGCTAAATTTGCCTTTCTCCTTGGAACTTGGCTGCTTAAACACCGCAGCCAACGCATTCTCCGGGGCTCGCAGAATGCAATTCTCCGGGCGTGTGGCCCTTCCGGCCCCCCATGCACACCCCGTGCCAAGGAGCATAGGGGGTTTTGGAGGTTCCTCAAATTTTCGTATATATATATATAGTATACCATAATATATATATATATATGTATGTATAAATAGTATATTATAGTATGTTCTGTGAAGGTCTGTGAAGTTCCTAAAACTTGTGTGACAACCAACCCTTCCTTCCTGTGCTTATATATTTTTTTTTGTTCTCGGACCTTTTTGCTAGCTCTCTGGCTGCTCGGTCGTCTTGACCTTGAAAGTAAGAGGCAGCTGTTGTTGACATTCAGCCTTCTTGCACGGCTTGTTCAGCTGCTTGCTGGGCTTCCAGGTCCCATCACTTGACAGAGCATGCGCCCCGCACACTTCACACCACACTCGATTGCCTCTGCGCTGAAGCAAATGCGTGGGGTGACCTGTCCATGTGGCTGGTGCCTCCCATCTGCCGTTCCAGCAAGGGCTGTTGTTGAGCTGTTCGATCTTGGCCCTGGCGGAATTTTTTCAGGGTGCGGAGGCCGCATTTGCCACACACCAAGTAGTTGGTTTGCACCTGAAGGTGATGACCTTGAGCATGTGGTTGGTCAATGAGCCGCTGGATGTAGGCTTGTTTCGTCTCTTCCGAAGCTGCCCCACCCTTGACAGGAAGGCTTTGTGCAAGCTCACACTTCTCGTCCTTGATGTTCTTCAGCTGCTGGATCGTCATATGTTGATGGATCCGGCATTGGCATTGTTGACATTGCTGCCCATTGCCCTTTTGCTTCCATTGATGCCCTCCTTCGACTTCAGTGGTGAGGATCTCCTGGAACAAGGCTTTCTTGACCTCCCGATTCTTCTGGCGATTCTCTTTCCCTGTGGTTTTGTGCTCACGAAGGAAATGATCGGCAGTGTCCAAGAGGTATTTGATGCGCTGGGCTGCCAAAGGAGCAATGCGGTTGTACTTCCTGTCTTGTTCACGTAGTTCTCTTTCCTGAGTAAGAGGTCGCCGGGAGATAGCCACCTCCTGAGCCGCCTTGTTTGCGTCTTTGTATCTCGTGCGCAAAGAGAGGCCTGTGTTTGGCATCACCAGGAGTTGCGCCTTTGTGACGCATAGGGCTCGCACCCGTTGCCGTTGATCCCATGTCACCAAACCTGCAAGATCGTAGAAATGCTCATGATGACGTCCGCTCACCCAGGCCTGCCAGGCCTTCACTGAAAGCACATGTGCTCTGGTTGGCACCGTGAGGTCCACGTAGTGGGCTATCATTCTGAGCCCGTAGTACCATGCTCTGGCTTGTGTCTGCCGGCCAGGCAACACTGTGGAAATGGCGCCCATGCGGAACATCTCCCCAGCAAAGATGGTGTGGTGGACAATCGTGACGATGTAATGCCGCACTCTAGCGTCTGCACTCGTGGTTGCAATGCCTATTGTCATCGTTTGATGATGGCTTGTGAGCTGAATGGCGTCGAGCTCTGTCATAGATCCCCAGGCCTGGATGGCAGCTCCTCCTGTGGAGATGCGGACAACTGGAGTTTGCAAGAGCCCCTGAGCCCAAAACTCAAGGTTCAGGCCTTGTTCGAGTTCCTTCTGGTCATCCGGCTCAAGCGGGGTGCAATTTTTGTTCGTCTGCTTGCACAACCATAGGACATGCACAGCCGTGGCCGGTTGGTTGCAGTGAGGGCAGGTGACATGTCCTTGCTCATTGCCTTCAGCCATCTTGGTGAAAATGGCGCCCTGGTGCCATGTCTGCAGAGCTAATTTGGTTCGTGGATTGGCTCTGCTGGCCAGTCTTTTCCAGGGTACCCAGTCGAGCGGGTTTTGCACATCCTGAAGCATGTGCCTCTGCTGGATCTTGGTGATTCTCTCCCTGATCTGGGCCCGATTGAGCTCCTCCCGGATGTAGTGCCAACTGGAGTGCATGTTGAGCTCGAAATCCTCTTCGCCATTGGCTCCTGGCTTTGTCCACCGGTCATAGTGGGTGGTATCCCAACCTCGATCCTGAAGGTAGCAAATGAGGGCCGCAACAGGTCCTTTGACCACTTGCCAGGGGTGCTTGGCCTTGCTGAGCCTCTCTTTGGTGACGCGCCAGGCTTTGTCAAGATCACGATGGAGATGTTCTGGCCAGTTCCCAAAACATTGTCGGTAGATCTTGATCTGACTGGCAAAGGCTTCGTAATCCGGGTCTCTGTGCCTTTGCTGCATGTCGTAGACAATGTCGACATTCCCCGTTCTTTGCAACCCCATCTGGCGCGCCATGGTTGTGCGGAGGCGCTGGCGATTTTGGGGCGCCAAACCTAGGGCCTGATGCCCCCAGCTGATCCCAGCTTGGATCGACCCTTTGTAGATGCGGAGTCTGACTGCCCTTTGCGGGATTTTCAGAGTGTGCAGCTTCTTGGTTTTCTTGTGAGCCTTTTGTCGTCTGCCTTTGATGGTCTGTAGGCGCCGGAGACGTCCGGCTGTGCAGTCTACGCCCAAATCCTTCATGACGTCATGGACCTTGGGGCCATCACTGGGGAGCTGTCTCTGGAGCATCCGCTTGGCCTGCACATTGGAGGTGACAAAGCCAGTCTTCTTGACCGACAGCTTCAAGTTGTCCTCCTCCAAGAGTTCTTTGATGTAGTTGTAGGCCTGTAGAGCAATGCGGACCGCATTCTCAACATCCCTATCCACAACATCGAAACTCAGATCGTCTATCCAAAGGTCGACGTGAAGGAATGGGAATTTCTTGCAGAAGGCCTTCATGGCCTTTTGTAGGTAGATCTTGGCCGCCAAAGGAGCCTGTGGATCACCCGCCAAAATGCAATTTTCTGTCCACATAGGTTGGGATGCTTCTCCCTCTGCTTCCAGGATGCGAGTCCCAAGGTAGATCTGCATGGCAAAGGCAGCGTGCGTAGCAGGATAGTTTGAGCTGATCCACCGCTCGGCAAGCTTTTGGAGGTTGATCCGGTCATAGAAATTGGACATGTCAAGAAGCACCGAGATGACCGTTTTGTTCAGCGCCTGGCTGTGTTCGGTGACAAAGGCTCTGCGGAGTGCCACTTGCAAACACTCCGTTCCTGGGATCGCTCTCTCCCAGGGGAACTCTTCTGGTAGTTGGCTTTGCCACTCCTTGGTGTAGTGGTTTCTCAATCGACACCATAGCCTGTAGAGAGTGGCCACCAAAGCAATAGGTCGCTCAATCTCAGCTGTTTTGGGCAGCATGGCAATGAGCGCAACGAGCCATTGGTTTGGGACTATGGCCTCCGCTTCAATCTGATGATACATCTGGGCCAAGTCCTTCATTGCTGCAAAAGGGAGGGCCTTCAAGAAGTCAAAGCCAATGCCATCCAGCCCAGGCGCCTTGTTGGAGAGCTGCTTGATGGTGTGCCAGATCTGCTTCTCCGTCAGAGGCTGCATGGAAGTAGCATGTTCTCTGGCCTTGTCGATCATGGCATCTAACGTTTTGACCTTGTGTTCACTACCGCGAATGCCCCAAATTTCACCCCACTGATGCACCCTCTTCTCCATGCGCTCTTTGCGCGGGTATTGTTGAAATGGCCTGAGAAAGGGTTGTTCATCTTTCTTGAGACAGCGGAAAAGATCACGATGGCCTTTGAGTGTTGCCTTGGCTAGCCATTCACGGTACTGCTCAGTCTCTGCCGCAAAGCTGGTGGCTTGGTGCAATTCTCTTTGCTCTTTTGTGTGTTGGAGTAGGACAGCAAAATGTTCCGGCTCCGGTTGGTTCCAGATCATGTCAAAGAGCATCTTGTAGTTGTGCAGAGTGTTGTTGCCTTCTTGATGCCAGTGCTGCTCGATGTGCCAGCTGAGTTGAGCCAGGTGTTGCTGATAACCAAGGAGGTACCAAGGTCGGTGTTGGATCTGCTGCAACCTGACTTCGACCTGTCCCCAAAAGGCCATGCTGCCTTTCTTCCATAACCATGCCTTGGAGGGATCACTGAGGGGTTTGAGCTGAAACTGAAGTCTTGTTCCTCTGCCTTCTGCAGGTTTGTCAAGGTTTTGCATGACATATCTCTCAATGCGGCTGTAGATCTTGCCAATGTGCCTGCTGACCTGATTGTCTTCATAGTCTAACCATTGGACCGCTCGTTCAACTGGCTCAATTTGGCTCCATTCCTGCTTGACCGCCGTCAGATGGGGCGCCGGATTGTATCTGGTGAGCTGGTTGACGGCAATGGGCTCCAGGGTGCCATCCAAATGGAAAAGGAGTTGAGCATGCGGCCGGAAAGGGACCTCCCAACTGACCTGGAGGTGCAGATCAGCACTGATCTGGTTAGTGACCAATGCCCAGTCGAGCTCGTTGCCCGAGGTGCACGTTTCCTCTCCTGTGGCCAGGACCTGGACCTGCATGACCGTGCTCATAGTGGTTGCCATAAACTCTCCTGGGGTGATATTGAAATCGCCACAGATGATGCAGGCATGGTTGATGCTGGTGACAAAGCTGATGAGTCCTGCCCATAGCACGGAATTTGTGCGTCCTTGTGCACCTTCTCCACATTTAAAGTAGGTGCCAACCAGAATGATGTTTGCATTCTGAAAGCTCCACATCACAGCGTACCAACCGCAACCCTCGATGACCTGGTGCTGGATGTAGTGCAGATGTAGGTGTGGTGGATAGACCAGCATGATGCCCCCATACGTACCACCTTTCGGACTTTCAGCGGCTGGTATGCCCATTGCCCCCAATCCTCTTGCGCTGAGCCATTGGATGGTCTTGATGTGGTCAGCCTCTCCAAGATGTGTTTCAGCCACGAATATGGGGGTGCGCGATCTTCCTCCCAGCCATTGCCGTACTTCTTGTCCCATGTTGGTGACATTGGCAAAAGCAAAATCGACACCTTCTTGGCATTTTCTTTTGGCCTCTTGTTCACTGGTGCCACTTGTGTGTGTGGTGGGAAAATCACACTTCAGGTTCACTGGCAAGAGCTGCTTGGAGGGAATGGCCCACACTTGAACTATCTGCTGCTTGATATTTTCCTGCATCTGCGGTAAAGCTCTGGGGTAAGCTCCGTCATCTGCTATCCAGTACAGGCCCCTGTAAACAAAGATAGCATAGAAATGTCCGCTCTTGTGTCCATCTCCTGTGTGACAAAGCAACCCGACCAGGGAGTACTGCTCCGTGCGAGTGGTTTGCCCGTCGTAGCAGACCGGCAGGTTGAAGATGGAGGGAACTTCAAGGGGTTTGTGATGCTTGGTCCACTCTCCTTTGTGATGTGTGTACCGCCCGATCTGGGCTACCCGCAGTCCTCCTCCAGCAAGGACCTGTCCTTCTGCTGTGTTTGCCCACTTTGCTATGAGCTGCTCGAAATCCGGCGGCTCATTGTCCGGGAAGATGAGGTGCGTTGGAAAAGCTTCCCGGAGGTGAACTTCTTGTCGATGGTCCACGTGATGATAGTGCCTGATCACCGTCTTGGAGTCAGAGAGCCTAACCATCTCTTGAAGAAAATGGGATGCATCATCTTGGACCATGTCATTGAATCTCTCCCACAAAGGCTGCATCGTGACCAGCCTGGTGATGTTGACAACATCAGTATCTCCTAGCATGGCCATCACCGCTGGGGCGGTATTTGCCCACAGCTTTTTCCCTTGCATGAAGCTGCCCACCCAAGCCCATAGTCGGAAAGGGCCATTGGCGAAGCAGCGGTTTCTGTAGTTGCCTAGTCTGGCTTGCAGATTTTGCACCACAAGGTCCAAACTCGACTGTTCTGCCTGTGCTTCATCACCCGGCAAGAGGCCGGAGGATGATGCTTGGATGCCCATGTCATCGTCCATGGTACCCGAGCCCCCACAAAAACTGGGGAAGGAGGTCCCTCCCTGCTCAAAAGAGTGCTCCTCTTCAGGAGCCCACGCCCCTGGTCCAGGCCATAGGAATTCGCCCCTTTCCTCAAAGCCTGAGCCGAAAAGTTGAGGTGTACTGCATTGTGGCACAACTGCTTCCCCTGGTTGTTCACATCGCAGCACACACACATCTGCCCCTGTATCCATCTGCCTAGTCTCTTTAGTATGGTTACCCACACTTTCTTCGTTTCATAACATTCTCTCCAAGCTTGTTTGCAAATTCTTTGGCCTGCTCTGCGGACACCTGCATGCCTAAGCTGGCCATGACCGTGAGCAGGTTTTCTGCCGTGATCTCATCTTGAGCTGCGTCGTCAACTTCTTTCTCCTTGTCTTTCTCGAGTTGCTGACTGTACAAGTTTGTGGCCTCCTGAAGTTCTTTCTGGGCCGTCTCGATCTTCACCTGGATCTCTTTCAAGTCTTGCAGCAACTGAGTGTATTGTTGTTTGACCTGGTCTGCACGGATCTGAATGGCCGCTTTCTTCTCTGAGAGCTGCTTGAGGGTGCCTGCTGCTTGCTTGACCTTCTGGTTGAGCGGAGTTTCAACTTTCTGTGGTTCTACAATCTTCTCTACTGCCTCCTTCAACTCTGCCGGCAAGCTCTGCAGGTGTTCCTTGATGAGTGTAGGCAAATCCGGCGGAGGCGCCGGAGCTGCTGCCTGCACTCCCATAGCTTCGAGCTGCGTCTTCAGGGTGTCCGGGATGCTAGACCAATGTTCTTGGAGCTTCTTTTCGATGCCCCGGACCCTGACCTTATTCTTCTTGGGTCCTTTGCCTCCATAGAGTCCAGGTGGTGGGGTCACCAAGGCTTCTTTGTAGCTTCTCTTGGGCCACTGAGCTCCTCTCTTTTCAAAGTTCCAAGATGCCCATTCCACCTTGCGTGTCCGAAGGTCCGGCACCGATGACTTCTTCCATTGCTGCCCGCAGATGTTGCAGG